ATATATATATATATATATATATATATATATATATACTCTTCATTTTCTTCGCTTTACGAGTTCCTCCGTCGTGTCTTGTCGATGATATAATTTGGTACTTCTGCCACAGTTGAGTTATCACGCAGGAACACCGACCTTACTACCGCATCGCGGACGTTATTTTGCGAATATGTCCGTCCACGACGAGAGGCACGGCTACTATTGGTATGATGGATACCATTGGAGTTAAGGAGTGGTATTCGTGAACTCCCATCAAAAGAAAGTGAAGATGACGAAAGCAGCTGTAGAGGTTGTGAAACCCCACGGCGTTGTCTGTGTAAGCGACCACTATGCGCTGCGGATTGCATGGCGGTGCCATGTGCGAATTTTGCAAGATCTACGCGTTGCAATGCTACTTTACGCAAGAGTTCCGGACTGCGATGCAGAGCTCGACGCTTACTACTGTCGCTATGATGACTGTGTGTGGTTCCTTCCTGTGGACGGCGTCGCTCTGACGGTGGCGGTGGGCGTCGACTCCCGTTTGTATTTGTGTGGCTATTGCTGTTTGTATGGCTGTTGATATTGATATCATCGCCGGTCCCCCGCGTGCGTATCTCGTCAAGGGCCTTCTCAAGCTGCGCGGTGAGATCGGCAACTTCACGCTGGGAATGGCGGTACTGCTCATCTAACTTTTCCCATTCCGCGTGGGCCTCGCGAAGTTGAATCTCAAAAGCACATTTTTTCACATTACTCTCTTCAATATAGTTATATAAATGGGCAAGTTGTTGCTCCATCTGCTGACGCTCCGCTCGACTATCCTCATCAAGGGAAAGAAGATTGTCGTAGGCTTCTTTACACTCTTGTAGATTACCCTCTAAAAGATTATTTTTCTTTTCCAAATCTTGTATTAGGTACTCACGCTCCTTATTACGTGACAACTCTTCTTCAAGTTGACGCCTAAGCGTGCGAACTTGACTTCGAAGTTGTACGTTTTCATGGCCCTGATGAAGAGAAGCAGAATTAGTATCACCTGTACCATCACCACTATAACCAATAGACATAAAGCGTGCTTTTTGCTGAGGAGTTAGTAACAACCAAATAGTACGAAACGCATCATCCTTTTTTCGCATCTCTTGAAGTACTTCTCCATGTTCCTTATTAGTTCGATCCAGTTCACTCTCTGTTATATTTAAACGGTTTTGAACGACATCATAAAGATTGCGTTGTTCTTCAAGATCACATCTTAGTCGTTCACACTCTTCTGCACGTTCTCCAGAAGCTTTGAACCAGGCTACGGTATCTTCATGTACTGCACGATCTACATACTCTCGAAGAAGTTTTAAATTGAGTTCCTCAAGACATTCTCTGAGAACTTTAGTTTCAGATATGGCCTCTTCCATTCGTTGTCTTGATTCCTCCCGTTTCATTTCAGCTTGTACAAGTTCTTTTCGTGCCTCAAGGAGATCTACCATAGTTCGCTGTTGTTCACTACGTACACCTTCCATTGCTTTTGCCATAACCTGTTTCTCCTGGTACATAATATCAAATTGCTCTTGCAATGAGAGGAATGTATCCGTTATCTTATGAAGTAATTCACTCGTTCCAAGTTGTGGAGCTACTTCTTCAAGAGCCTGTTGAGCTTCCTCCCGTTCCTGCGCCCGTTGCTCTAACTCTTTACGCTCTTCCTCAGCGATATCTCCACGCAACTCTAATGAACTTAACTCACTTTCTCGCTCACGTAGGATTTCTTGCAAGAGAGCGCATTGACGTTCAAGGGCAATAACGTGCTCACGCATTTTTACATCCTCAGCGCTTCTGTCAGGCATAGTTTCATTATCTCTTGTTGCATTTACGTCATCAGATACCCCTTTCTGTTGCATGAAAGCAGATCGCTGTTTCTCAATATACACTTCTTCTTGTAAAGTACAAACTCGATTTCGCAACGTTTCAATCTCTTTCATGAGATTTGCATACGTTTCTTCAAAACTACACGCACCACTAACTAGAAAATCTCTGGGTTTTCCCTTACTTTTGGTTACCACACAACGTTTCGCCGTCGTTGCAAAATCGAGAGAACTCTTCGTTTCAGCACAGTTTTGTTTTTCAAGCGATACCGTTGCAATAAGAAGAAGATAACATCCAGAAAGGCTTGCAGCTAAGTAGAGTGTAAGAATAGACTCTCTTACAGGTAAGACATATGCATCTTCTGCAGTAGCTTTGATAACGGCATGTAAGACAGAAAGAGATTTGTTAATTGCAATAGCTTCCTCTAGCTCATCACCGGCAACTCCTGTTCTTTTTACACGTTCAGAACCTGCAAGATCACCCAATGTCAGTCGATTTGTCGACACAGGGATTCCTCCAACGCATCTAGTAACATGAAAGGATAGAATTGTATGAGAGCGTGAACTACGCGTATTTAACAAATGGGAACCTACAAAACGTTTTCGTTGTGCTTCAGTAATTCTTTTCTGCACATCTGCTGCACTACGAACTAAATATCGGGGTTCACGAACTAATGACCCTTTTGGTTTCTGTAATAAAACTCCATGTTCTGATTTACCCTCTCCCAAAAGGTTATAAGCATTGTTATTATGTATTTGTATGTAAGAAACTTCTACAATATCATCTGGATCATTTAGATTGTCAAACAAAGCTTGAATAAACGCTGGAATGAGAGCATTTATAGTATGTGTCTTACCACTTCCTGTCTGACCATAGCATAGCACACAGGCATTAAATCCAGCTTTAAGTTGGTCAATAATACCTGGAATCATCGCATCACATATCTCAGCATCTGTTACAGTTGGTGAAATAACCTCATCAAATGCGTACACACGTTGTGTCTCCTTTGTACCATCAGCTGTAGGGAACATAATGGTTAATAGTTTACCACTTCCATTCACTCCTACTCTCGGAGAAAGTGAAATCTGTTGTGGGCTACTTTGTACCAGAGATGAAATTGGTATTCCTACGGTAGAAGAATGAAATCCATTACTATTTGAAGCACTACGACTATCTTCAAGAGATCTACTACCATTACTAATAGTACCACCATTACAGCTCTCCTCTTCCGAATTTTTTACGGCAGGTGGAATTCCACAACGAGGTGTGCCTTCTCCTCTACGGCCCGTACGGGGGGTAGCTAAGGGAGCAGATTCAATACAAAATTGTAAAATATTGCTACTATCAGACTGAGGCACAGGGGGTTTTAACCTAATAGCCACATGCACAAAGTCCTGACTACTCTGTCCCAACAATGATGTTCGATCATTCCTGTTACGATTTCGTACGGAATACAAACCATTTCTTTCTTCTCTCGAACTACTAGGCATACATGTGGATGTCGTGGTTGTGATACGGGGTATTTCTAGGGAAAGACGTGAAAGGGAACTTGACATCTTAGTCGTTTTGATTGGAGAGTTCACTGAATCTTCAGTCTCAACCTGCCTATCCGAAGTATCCAACATAAGGAAACAAAGAAAACGAAAATAAAAAACTAATGTTAGAACCAATACAAGAAAAATATGCGAGAGAACTATCAGTACTCAACCTATTAACGTGTACTTTTACTTTTCTTCTTCTTCTGTGTGTATTGTACAGCAGCAACAAGAACAACGACAAGTTGCAGTGAAATCTTTTATCCTTTTCTCTAATATGAGGAGTCGTGCTCCTCCTACTGACACACTGTGGGGCGAACTGCAACCTTCACACACTGTGAGTGGATTCTGAGCTGTAAGAAATAAAAAGAAGAACTGCGAAAGAGAGAGAGAGAGAAAAAAAAAGAGAGAAAAAGAAATTAAAAGAAGAATAAAAATAAGACGAAACACATCACAACACATTACTACTACCACCACCACAACGTATAAAGTTACGAATGCCATGCGACAGCTCTTGCCGCATATCTTCCCATGACACACACACACACAAACACACGCACATACATCATATACCATTCTCTCTGCAAAAGAAAAAGCAGAGAGAAACACAAATAAAAAAAAAAAAAATCAAATAACAAAAAACAAAATAATAACAAAAAGTTAATCATTGAATTTTGTTATTCTTTATTTACAACGTAAAAATGAGGAAAAAAAACTAACAAAAACAGTTCAGGAAAGAAGAAAACAACATCAAACGAAACAATATCAACTTTCAATACCATTCAGTAATACCACTTTTTTTTCTCCTTCTTTTTTCTTTTCACCCCCGTAGTATCATTCTTCTTCTACCTTTGAAAACACGAACAAAAAAAAAAAAAAAAAGATAATAAAAATAATTATATGCGTCATGCAGTTTTCTACAACTGCCTCTATTAAACTCCTCAAAGGGTACTACTTCTCTCACTTTTGTTCCTTTTCTTTACCACCATACCCAACATGCGGGTCAATAGTTTTTTTTGTTCCGTTTTAGTTGTCACTGTCAAGTTTGGTATCTCCGCATCACCTATCGCGGTTTCAACGGTTTAGCATACAGTTGCGGCGCGAGTGATTTAACAAGAACAAGAAAACAAAAGAGACACAACACGACGCACAACATCATATATATATATATATATATATATATATAAGAATAAATCCGTACTCTTACTGTGCGGATTTAAAAGAAAAAAGTCATCAGCATTATAGAACTGCCAAGAGAGAGTATCGGAAAAGGAAAAATAAGCTCAAAAAAGGAATAGGTTTAAAAAAAAATCATTCTTTCACCTGAAACAGGGTTAAGAAGCAAAAAAAAAAAGAAGAAAACTACTCTGAAAATGATAACGTTCTTTTTTCTCGACTCTCAGAATCCCAGTATCTACATGCAAAAATATTTTGGCGTTCATATCTTCACATACGCTGCGGCATATTCTGATAGAAAAAAACATTTTCAGACAAAAAAATGCGCGGGAATGGTACTCTAATGAAGAAAAATTTAAAAAAATTTATAGCACCTTCTCCTTCGAATACCTCCTGCTGAAATAGAAAAAAAAAAAAAAAAACATACGAACACATATATCCTATACTACTTAGTGCTACTACTCCCCACCCAACCCACACAGTTAAACTGTATACAACCGATAGAGTACTAGTCAATACCTTGATATTTATTTTTTTCGACTTCTTCGTCATCTTCTGGGTCCTTTGCAGCAGGAGTATATACATCAACAGGTGGTAGAACTTCTCCACGGGATTTGGCAACACCAACACGTGGTGTGAAAACATCAACAGGAGACAACATTTGACTTCTAGATCCTCCACCTCCACGTCCAGCAAGGTCATTATCTTCATAATTCCTTCGAGATTTATCCTGAAAAAATATGTCAACAGGTGATAATTCTGAGTGAAACCGTCCACCATGCACAACAACTTCGTACTCATCAACGACCTTCCCTCCATACGCCTTCGAGACACATCCGAAGAGATCAAAACATTGAATGAGCAAGTTAAGAAAAACCTTAACCATCTCATCAACAAGCCACCAAATAATACAGTAGATCCATACCCATAGTGGTAGAATTGTCTCAGTTCTCGCAGCACCCCATGCGAGTCCTTCTGTCTCCACATGATCCACAGTCGACAGGTGCCAGTATGAAGCAGCCATTGAGGAGATAAGCAGAGAAAAAACAGCAGCAATAAACAGTATAAGACCTGGAGCCGCTGTAAAAAAGAAATCACCCCCAGTACGTGCCGAGAACAGTGTCATGAAATCAAATATAGTTATCTTAAGATACAACATCGTCACCACTTTACCCTGCGGCAGTTGTGCAAGACCCAGCGAAAAAATCCATGAATTCGGGTAATAAGTATCTCCCCAACCCTCGAGAGCGACCCAAAGAAGCATCAGAGATGAGGCACAGGATGCAATAGCAAGAATAATAGCCCTCACAAAGACCAGAGGAACATTCCACCGTTGAGGAAGCTTAGATGGGACCACTCGATCGTAACCAATCGTTATCATGAATATATCGTTTAACAGAGCGATAAGCAGAAACAACAACACAGGTAATTGGAAGAACTGAAAATTAGGGTCCACACTGCCATAGTCTCGGGGCGTCAATGAGAAGCAAGCAATGAAGTAAAAACACACCAGTGAGAGCGATGCAGATATACGGTATGTCAAGAAGGTCAGCAAACGCTGAAACACTTGACGGGAAACAAGCATGGCCTCAACAAGAACACTCAGACCAGGTCCAGTCAATACCATGTCAGCAGCAGCACGCGCAGCATCCGTAGCACCCTGCACAGCAATACCAACGTCTGCACGCTTTAGCGCAGGCACATCATTTACACCGTCGCCTGTCATGGCACAGGTGTAACCACGTTGGCGAAGAGTTTCAACAATCATAAACTTGTGTTCAGGGAGGACTTGCGCGAAACCACCAGCGCCAAGGATCATATCACCGTACTTCTCACCAAGATCGTCAGGCAGATCATTCACATCAACCTTGGGAAGCTTGTCAGCTGTCAAGATATTTGGGTCAAGGTTCAGCGCTTGGCACATTTCCTTTGCAAATGTTACTCGGTCACCCGTGATCATCTTAACGTCCACACCATATTCCTTGCTTCGACGAATCGTATCCTTCGCATGAAGTCGTGGGGGATAAAGAAATGATAAGATACCGCACAGGTGCCAGCGACCCTGTGAATCCGTCTTTGCCACAGAAAGACAGTGGATACCACGCGAGGCGAGAGTCTCAATGATCTCAACTACTTGGTTGCTGATCTCATCCTGGTTATATACCAGCTGAAGGATAACATCCGGTGCACCCTTCGTGACGCTGAACCTCTCACCAGTTCGATTATCGGTTAGCGAAGCAGATATACGTCTCTCTATTGGATTAAAGGGAACAAACTCAGTCTGCGTGTAGTTATCGCACTCGTCAAGGTCTGCAGCTTCAAGTATCATGGCTTCCAAGGCATCACGTGGCGGTTCACGCCACTTTGCGGCAAGTGCTGCCAAGACGAGTATAGAACGTAGGTCGTAGCCCTCTTCAAACGTGAAACACTGATCTTGAATCTCCATCGTATTGGCTGTAAGTGTTCCTGTCTTATCTGAGCACACCATGTTAACACGAGCCAATGTTTCCATGGAGGCCATATTCCTCACCTCGACTTGGCACTTTGATAATCTTATTAAGCCCAACGAAAGTATCGCAGTAACAACAATTTCCAGAGCAACGGGAATAGACGCTATAAAGAGCACCACGGCAAAATTGAGGGAGTAGCGGAAAGTCATGTGCACACTGGCCAACAAATAAATCATGCAGATAATAGCGAGAACAAAACCAAAACTTGTCAATACCAGCACCATACGTGAAAGAATGACGTGAATATTGTCAACATCAGCCTCCACTGATTGCAGTAATACAGCTGATTTACCAAATAAGGTGTTCTGACCTGTAAATTGTACTGTGCCGTCCACTTCACCACGCTCAACATTTGAGCCCATTTTGGCCATTTCACCTGCCCCAATCGACACAGACATTGACCCACCGGTCAGTACTGACTCGTCAACATCAATCACACCCTCATTAACTGTACAATCAGCAGGAACTGCAGAACCGGACGCAAGCTTCACAAGATCACCAGGAACCAGAAGCGCAGCATCGATTTGCTGCCATGAACCATCACGAAATACGGTTATCACTGGGTTCAGAGAATTCTTCAGTGCCGCTAAGGCATCACCACTCATATAGACCTCAAAACATCCAATAAGGACGTTAATAATCAGAATAGCGAGCAGAATAGAGGCATCAGCCCAGTACGACAAAGCATACTTAATGATGAAGGCTATTAATAGTGCCAGAGACATGGGATTCCCCAGGGTTCGCACAAATAAAAGCCAAACGGGAGTCTTTTTTGTAGGTAGTTCGTTGCGTCCGTATTTCGCCAAAAGTTCTTCTGCTTCAGCAGTTGTTAAGCCCTTTGATGGGGGTAACAGTTCTGCTGTTTCTTCCTCTGCATCCTCTTGGGGTTGAGGTTGCTCGTTGGGTGGAATGGAATCATGGTTGCCTTGATTTTCTTCTGGATCATTGAAGACCCTTTCCGTATTAGTTTCGTTCTGTTGGGTATCTTCTGGATCATTGAAGACCCTTTCAGCTTCAGATTGCATCGATTTTTGTAGCCAAAATAATATATATATATCGCTCTCTGCTATCCTTTGTAGCACAGGAATAATTTTGTTCGCTGAGAACAGAAGAAATAAACGAATACTACTTACGTTCACGCTCCCCTTTTTTGTTCCTTTGGGTTCTTTCTTTAGGTAGACACAATACTAGATGATAATGATGATAGAAAAGAAGCGAAGCATATAATTATATGACAATTTTTTTTTTTTTTAATATTCTGTCATTTTCTTCTCCTATATTTCAGGGAAAAGTGACAATTTTTTAATAGGTCAAGAATAAACTTATAAAAAAGATGGCAATGGGGAAACAATATATTTACTTTTTTCTTTTTACAATCCTCTTCATTTCTTTCTTTTTTCTCTTGCTAAAAGCCATTTTCCCATTTTTGGTTTCTCCCATTGATGATATAACCCTATATATATTTTTTTTGCTGTTTCCCCGACTTCACACACCCTGTTGACAGTGCATGAAAACACTTACCATCTCTTTCATCTTAAATAGGAGAAAAGAAAAAAAAATGTAAAAGTCTAAAGGGGAAAAAACGTGTGTATCATTATATACAAACATGATTCTCTGCGCACAGTTTTTTTTTTTTTTTTCCCCTTTATTATAGCTACCCCTTGTAATTAAACAATCTCACACCAGATATTGCTAGATATGTTCAATAGCTATTTCCTCTAGACACCTAGATAAAAACCATTAGTCACTTTGTTTGCTTTTTATCTTTTAAGGAAATCACGCGAACTCACGGTACGCACTTTCTAGAGAATCATATACGTAGACATAAATACATAATATATATGTCAATATTTCCCTTTTTTTTGTTCCGTTGATGTTCTTAATTTCCGTCATTTTTCTACGAATTTCCCTATAACTCTTAATGAGTGGGATACAGTCATCTGGATTTTTATATTTATTACTTAAGGGAATGTCATTTCATTAACACATACACCATGCACCCCGTATCTTTTTTCCTGTGTTTGCCTTCTCTCACTCTTGTTCTTTTATAAGCGAATCCCTGCGGCCCCACCATCATGTACAGAAGTAAGTGTGTGAGGCGTCGCAAGAAAACAACATTCCTCGTTGGGAAAGAACAAAAAAATTTTTTATTTAAATAAAAACAATAGACGCAAAATAAAAAAAAAAAATGCTAGAACACAGACAGAAATACAGGAAAGAAATACATACACAAACATTCACACAAAGGGAAAGGAAGAACAAAAAAAAAATACATTTACTACTCAAGTTAGGAGTTATATGGTAGAAAAAAGACAAAAAAAAAAAAACACTCCACAAAACAAACAAACAAACAAAAAAAAAAAACGAGACGAGCGAAAATATTTTTAAACATTAAAGACAAAAAAAATGCATAAAAAAATCTGTAATAGAACACCCCTACGAATCCAAAACAACCAGAAGTATCTTGGCAATTGGGCACTTGGTCAAAAAAAAAAATTATTTCTTACCAGTTGCCATTATATTTTCAGTGATTCCTCCATTTCTTTTTTTTTTTTTCGAATATAATTTCTGTTTTTTTTCTTCTTTTTCTTCTTCAACTGTTATTACGGCATGTACAGCATTCTTATTCTCTTCTGCTGAATTTTTCAGATAAATGAGAGCTACGTTCATCCACCACTTTCTGCATTCCTTGCCATCTGGCACACTTTTCCTCATTTACCAGCTCAATTCCTTACAACCATCACAGTTCATAATCGTTAAAACCAAACAAAAAAAGATGGAACAAAAGAAAAGGAATTCTGACGCATAAAAAAGAAATAAGAAAAGAAAAAAAGAAACACAAACGTTAGAAAGACATCATCGAAAAAGTAATGGTTGTCAGTCTTCCTTTCTTGCGGAATACGGAGTGCTTACATCAACAGGGCTTGTTTCACGAACAATAGGAGCATCATCCTCTGGAGAACGGGGTGCATCTTCATCGACAGGCTCCTGAATACGTTCAGCATATTGTTCAATAACCTTTCCTCCGTACGCCTTCGAGACACATCCAAAGAGATCAACCCACTCCATAAATATATGTGCAAGTACCTTCACAGCGTCCTGAATAAACCACCAAACAATACAGTAGATCCATACCCATAGTGGTAGAAGTTTTTCGCTTCTCTTCTCGCCCCAGGCAAGACCCTCTGTCAGCAATCCATCAGGACTAGACTTACGCCAGAAGGAAGCCACCATTGAGGAAACAAACAGAGAGATAATAGCACCAATGAACAATATAAGGCCTGGAGCCATTCTGAAGAAAAATTGACCTCCAGTACGCGAAGAGAACAGTGTCAGGAAATCGGAAATCGAAATCTTCAGATACAGCAATGTCACAACCTTACCCTGCGGCAGTTGCGCGAGACCAAGACCGTGGAACCAAGAGTTAGGGTATGTCTCTACACTATAAGCTTGAAGTGCCACCCAAAGAAGCATCAGAGATGAGGCACAGGCAACAGCTGCAAGAATAATAGCGCTTGTGAATACCACAGGGAGATTCCACCGTTGAGGAAGCTTAGATGCCACCACTCGATCGTAACCAATCGTCATAAGACAACCATCATTCAAAAGTGTGATGAGCATAAACATTAGCACAGGTAAATGGAAGAACTGGAAATCAGGATCCACACTGCCATAGTCTCGGGGCGTCAATGAGAAGCAAGCAATGAAGAAGAAACACACCAGTTGTAGTGTTGCAGATATACGGTATGTCAAGAAGGACAGCATACGCTGAAACACTTGACGGGAAACAAGCATGGCCTCAACAACAACACTCAGACCAGGTCCAGTCAATACCATGTCAGCAGCAGCACGCGCAGCATCCGTAGCACCCTGCACAGCAACGCCAACGTCTGCACGCTTTAGCGCAGGCGCGTCATTTACACCGTCGCCTGTCATGGCACAGGTAAAACCACGTTGGCGAAGAGTTTCAACAATCATGAATTTGTGTTCAGGGAAGACTTGCGCGAAACCACCAACACCGAGCATCATATCACCGTACTTCTCACCAAGATCGTCAGGCAGATCATTCACATCAACCTTGGGAAGCTTGTCAGCTGTCAAGATATTTGGGTCAAGGTTCAGCATGCGGCACATTTCTTTTGCAATCAACACGTGGTCACCCGTGATCATCTTAACGTCCACACCATATTCCTTGCTGCGACGAATCGTGTCCTTCGTATCAGGGCGTGGGGGATCCAAAAAGGTCAAGATACCGCACAGGTGCCAGCGACCCTGTGAATCCGTCTTTGCCACAGAAAGACATCGAATACCACGCGAGGCAAGGCTGTCAATAATGTCGACCACCTCATCATTGATGTCATCCTGGTTATACACAAGTTGAATGATCACATGCGGTGCACCCTTCGTGACGCTGAACTTCTCACCAGTTCGATTATCGATCAGAGTAGCCGCTGTGCGCTTGGTCGTCGGATCGAAGGGAACAAACTCGGTCTGCGTGTAGTTATCGCACTCGTCAAGGTCTGCAGCTCCAAGTACCATGGTATCCAAGGCATCACGTGGCGGTTCACGCCACTTTGCGGCAAGTGCTGCCAATACGAGTATAGAACGTAGGTCGTAGCCCTCTTCAAACGTGAAACACTGATCTTGAATCTCCATCTTGTTGAGTGTCAGAGTTCCTGTCTTGTCTGAGCACAACATATTTACGCCAGACATCATCTCGATAGCTGTCAGCTTTGTTACGATGATCTTGTGCTTCGACAGCTTCTTCGAGCCAACAGCAAGAGTCGTGGTAACGACAATTTCCAGCGCAATGGGAATGGACACAACAAGGACAACGACAGAAAACTGAAGTGATCGGCGGAAAGTCTCGTAAAATTTTGCTAACAAATAGATGAAGCAAATAAGACACAATACAAACGAAAAACTAGTCAACACCACCATCACACGTGCAAGAATGACGTGAATATTGCCAAGGTCAGACTCCACTGATTGCAGAAGTACGGCAGTCTTACCGAAGAAAGTGCTCTGACCTGTAAATTGTACTGTGCCGTCCACTTCACCACGCACAACATTTGAGCCCATCTTCGGCATGTGGTCTGGTCCCATCGTCACGGGCAGTGACTCACCGGTCAGTGCTGCCTCATCAACATCAATCACACCCTCATTGATGCTGCAATCAGCAGGAACTGCAGAACCGGACGCAAGCTTTACAAGATCACCAGGAACCAGAAGCGCAGCATCGATTTGCTGCCATGAACCATCACGGAAGGCGGTTGCCACAGGTTTCAGAGAATTCTTCAGTGCCGCTACGGCGTCACCAGCCTTAATCGTTTCATACCATCCAATGGTGGCATTGGCGATCTGAATGGCAAGTAGAATAGCGCCATCAGGCCAGTTTTCCAATGCGAATTCAATGATAATGGCGACCCACAGTGCAAAAGGCATAGGTCCCCACAAGTTTCGTACAAATATAAGCCAACCAGGAGTCTTTTTTTCTGGCAGTTCATTGCGTCCGTATTTTTGCAAGAGCTCCTCTGCTTCAGCAGTTGTTAAGCCCTTTGATGGGGGTAACAGTTCTGCTGTTTCTTCCTCCGCATCTTCTCTGTGCTCGCTGATGGCCTTGGACAGTACAGACTGACGTTTTTGTGGCTTTTGCGGTGGATGTTCTTCACCATTGGTACTTCCATCATTAATGCTTACCTTACTGTTTTTGTCAAAAACAGGTGGATCTTCCTTACTGTTATCGGTCATTACTCTTTTTGTTTGCTTTTGTTTTTATACACACTTTCGGTGAAAAAAAAATATATATATCTAAAGCGTGATAGAATAAAGTAAGGAAAGAATTATGCACTCACAGCAATTGGTAAAAATATGAAGGAACTGGTTAAATTGTTCTTAATATGTCATGGTCAATCGAAGACAAACAAAAAATATGTTTGTTGAAAAGAAGCAAGCACAGCAAGAGTTCTTTCTTTTTTTTTGGTTTCTAGATATAACAAAAAATGATAATCCAAGCAATATATATATATATATAGAAAAATAATGTATATATAAAAAAGCAATTCTTATGGGAATCCCATGTTTTAGAGAAACTGCAATATATATTTAAAGTTCCAATGACTAGATTCCCTTTTTCTTTAAAGCACAGCATAGTCGCACAACAGAAACAAAAAGAAAATTACATTATCTCACTCTTTTTTATTCAAGCGTCATAATAATAATAATATACGTAAAGAATATGTCTGTGAATACTCGGACCCCAGAGAATACACTTCCAAAATTAACTCGAGACATTTATACGTAAAACGAATTTCATCATCTGCCTGTTCCAGACAGAAACTGTATACAGCATTTGCTACTAGCCTAGATTTACGTTGCACTTAAAAGCGCAAGAGAATTTTCCAATGTTTTTTCACACGCACCCCTTGTTGTATTCCTTGAAACCCAGCACAACCATACTCATTTACTAATTCCAATTCCCTACAAACATCATAGTTTATCACTGTTAAACCATAATACAGAAAAATAAAACGGTGACACAGAAACAAAAGCAGAATAAAAAAGAATTAGAAAGACATCATCAGAAAACTTAAACAGGTCATTCCTACCATCATGCACCACGCGGAGTGTCCACATTAACAGGTGATACCTCATACAGACACAACTTAACAGGGTCTGAAGGATATACAACAGACCTACAATATTGCGCAATTTTTTTTCCCCCATACACCTTCGAGACACATCCAAAGAGATCAACCCACTCCATAAATATATGTGCAAGTACCTTCACAGCGTCTTGAACAATCCACCAAATAATACAGTAGATCCATACCCATAGTGGTAGAAGTTTTTCGCTTAGTTTCCCGCCAGTGGCAAGACCCTCTATCAGCAATCCATCAGAACGCCAGGTAGGAAGAAAAAAACTCACGGCTGTTGACCCACCTAGAGATAAAACAGCACCAAAGCAGAGTACAATACCTGGAGCCATTTTGAAGAACCAGTCACCTCCAGTACGCGAAGAGAACAGTGTCAAGAAATCGGAAATCGAAATCTTCAGATACAGCAATGTCACAACCTTACCCTGCGGCAGCTTCGCGAGACCAAGACCGTGGAACCAAGAGTTAGGGTATGTCTCTTCACCATAAGCTTGAAGTGCCACCCAAAGAAGCATCAGAGATGAGGCACAGGCAACAGCTGCAAGAATAATAGCGCTTGTGAATACCACAGGGAGATTCCACCGTTGAGGAAGCCTAGATGCCACCACTCGATCGTAACCAATCGTCATAAGACAACCATCATTCAAAAGTGTGATGAGCATAAACATTAGCACAGGTAAATGGAAGAACTGGAAATGAGGATCCACACTGCCATAGTCGAGAGGCGTCAATGAGAAGCAAGCAATGAAGTAAAAACACACCAGTGAGAGCGATGCAGATATACGGTATGTCAAGAAGGTCAGCAAACGCTGAAACACTTGACGGGAAACAAGCACGGCCTCAACAAGAACACTCAGACTAGGTCCAGTCAATACCATGTCAGCAGCAGCACGCGCAGCATCCGTAGCACCCTGCACAGCAACGCCAACGTCTGCACGCTTTAGCGCAGGCACATCATTTACACCGTCGCCTGTCATGGCACAGGTAAAACCACGTTGGCGAAGGGTTTCAACAACCATGAATTTGTGCTTTGGGAAGACGTGTGCGAAACCACCAACAGCGAGCATCATATCACTGTAACTCACACCAAGATCGTCAGGCAGATCATTCACATCAACCTTGGGAAGCCTGTCAGCTGTCAAGACATTTAAGTTAAGGTTCAGCATGCGGCACATTTCTTTTGCAATCAACACGTGGTCACCCGTGATCATCTTAACGTCCACACCATATTCCTTGCTGCGACGAATAGTATCTCTCATGTCAGGGCGTGGGGGATCCAAAAAGGTCAAGATACCGCACAGGTGCCAGCGACCCTGTGAATCCGTCTTTGCCACAGAAAGACAGTGGATACCACGCGAAGCGAGACTCTCAATGATTTCAACCACCTCATCATTGATCTCATCCTGGTTATATACCAGCTGAAGGATAACGTGCGGTGCACCCCTCGTAACCCTGAACGCCTTACCACTATGTCTTTCAATTATAGTAGCCGCTGCATTTTGAGTCGTCGGATCGAAGGGAACAAACTCAGTCTGCGTGTAGTTATCGCACTCGTCAAGGTCTGCAGCTTCAAGTATCATGGCTTCCAAGGCATCACGTGGCGGTTCACGCCACTTTGTACAAAGAGCTGCCAACACGAGTATAGAACGTAGGTCGTAGCCCTCCTCAAACGTGAAACACTGATCTTGAATCTCCATCTTGTTGAGTGTCAGAATCCCTGTTTTTTCAGTGAACAGCATATTAACACGAGCTAGCTTTTCAACGGAGTATAGGTTCCTCACTCTGACTTTGTGTCTTGACAACGTGTTCGAGCCAACAGCAAGAGTCGTGGTAACAACAATTTCCACCATAAGAGGAATAGAAACCATAAACACTTGAGCAGAAAAATACAATGCATTAGCAAAATTCACCCTAAATTTTGCTCTCAGATACAAAAAAACCGCAACACAGAGAATAAAGGAAAAAAACGTCAACAACAACGCCACACGTGAAAGAATGACGTGAATATTGCCAAGGTCAGCCTCCACTGATTGCAGTAATACAGCTGATTTACCAACAAAAGTGTTCTGACCTGTAAATTGTACTGTGCCTTCCACTTCACCACGCACAACATTTGAGCCCATTTTGGCCATTTCACCTGCCCCAATCGACACAGACATTGACTCACCGGTCAGTGCTGCCTCATCAACATCAATCACACCATGATTAACTGTACAATCAGCAGGAACTCCATAATCCGATACAAGCTTCACAAGATCACCAGGAACCAGAAACGCAGCATGCATTCGCTGCCATGAACCATCACGGTAAACGATTGCCACAGGTTTCAGAGAATACCTCAGTGCCGCTACGGCGTCACCAGCCTTAATCGTTTCATACCATCCAATGGTGGCATTGGCGATCTGAATAACAAGCAGAGTAGCTCCACTGGGCCAGTGTTGGAATGCCAATTCAATGATAATGGCGACCCACAGTGCAAAAGGCATAGGTCCCCACAAGTTTCGCACAAATATAAGCCAACCAGGAGTCTTTTTTTCTGGCAGTTCATTGCGTCCGTATTTCGCCAAAAGCTCCTCTGCTTCAGCAGTTGTTAAGCCCTTTGATGGGGGTAACAGTGATATTGTTTCTTCTTCCGCATCTTCTTTGTGCTCGCTGATGGCCTTGGACAGTACAGACTGACGTTTTCTTATCATTTGCTTGTCATATCTGTCGAAGCTTTTAGACCTTTCATTGTTTTCTGAAAAATAACTTCCTGACCTCATATTTTTTGCGCAATTCACACTTTACAACAAAGAAGAATGAGAAAACAGATTTTGAGTTATAAGAGCAATTAAAATGACATGGCACGGTATGTAATTAAAAACGATTTTCATGTTATTATTTTCTTTCAATTATTTACCTTGTGATTAAATTAAGTGGTTGATGAGGGAGTACACAGCACAAAAAAAATTTTTTTTTTTCTTTAAGCTTTCACATAATATATGTGGTTTTTGAGCGTTCTTGTGAGTGCTTCCAAAAAGAAAAAAAAAGGAAAATAGGAGAAGTGAGCAGAATCAAAAAAAAAAAAAAAAAAAAAAAA